CATAATTTCAATATTGATTCATTTCAAATGCCATTTATTAATTTAGAAAGTTTGATATATTTAGAGTTTCGCCTAAAACAAACTTGGCTTGAATACATTTATTGGATACGATATTCTTACTCCTTTTCCTGTTTCATCGGTGCTTTTCCATACAAATTTACTTTTCATATATTAATAAGCTACCCGAACATGATTACTTTTGAGTCAATGATTGTTTTTTATTTTCTTTTTATGCAAGTATATCGTCATTCAAATGGAGCTTTGCTCTAGCAAGACATTACGGCAAGTAATTGATACTGAGCACCTTTATACTAATACAGACCGTGCATGGAGTTTATTTCGTGAGCTTACAGATGGCTTAGCTTACATTCATGCCAAAGGTGTAATACATCGAGACTTGAAGCCGGCCAACATTATGATTGATGAGGAGGATCACGTGAAAATAGTTGATTTTGGGCTAGCAACCCACGTCAATCATACTGAACGCCAGTTGCAAAACCAACAAAAACGATTACAGCAGGTAAAGTTCCGTATGTGGTTCGAGAACATCATTCAATTTTAGGTAAGAGCTTTGGTCACCGAAGTCAACGAAGGCTTCAATAATTGCAGCACACAATGATATTTGATTATAATTTATGCCTATCTAAATGTATGCTTTATAATTATCCCTTATGAGTTAGGAATTTAGTTACAATTTGCCATTTTTTATGAGTATCCCTGTCCCAAAAGGTCTATTTATATCCATTTCCCCCTTAAAGCTTAATAGTTTAATGAACGGCTGAATTAGAAAATGTTACTTAGCCTATTAAAATTGAGATAAACCAGGTTTTTATGGCCACATATTTCTCCGTTTTAAATGCTTGATTTAACCAAATTTTTCATCGATGAACAATAAAGAGCTTTATTAGGGTTAATTTAGAGGCATAATTTTATTCCTTTAATAAGGCGGAATAGTACAATTTGCAAATTAAGACGCTTTTATTTAAATTGATATATATATATATATATATATATATATATATATGTGTGTGTGTGTGAGCATGTATGTATGTTAATGACTGTACGCAAAACCGACCATAACTCAGAGAAATTAGGACTGAACTAGAATGCTTGTTTACATTGATTCCACGTCAAAACTTAATAGTATGTCTCCTTCAGAAGTACTCAGCTTGTGCACTAAGTAAACAAATCCATAAGAGTTTTTAACAAAAAATAACCAAAATTCATTCACTTTTCTCAAATTTCTGCACAAAAAGTGAAAATTTCTGTATAACACTACTCTAATTCGAAAGTATGAAGATCAAGCTGTGTCATTTAATATAGCCTCGGTAATCCTTCGTTTTATAATAACTGTTTACCTTATTTTCCCAACTTGGTCGTATTGCTAGAAAGGCCTAGAGGAATACACCTTGTCC